ATTAAGTAGCACCTTTAAGGATTGACAAGGTGCTTGCAAACAAGAAGTAACTATGCAACTTGCAAACAAGAAGAAACTATGTGTTTATTTCACAACACATATATTTGTCATGTTCATAAATTAAATCTGTTTCTTGTAAATTAAACATTACCCCTTGAATATATGAAGTATGTTCTTGTTCGCATCTGAAATGTGTTCGTGGTTACAGGTTCGTGGTCTTCCTCTCTCCATTAATGCCGCAGAAAGTGTAAATTTTGATTTTATGAAGCTCTTAAGTTTCTAGTCATAACTGTCGTAGTCATCTTCTATGTTTTTCTCCAGTCAGTAAACAATATCGACAGTGTGAAAAAAAAATTAAAATCTTTTAGTCTCACATGAATATTTGCTTAGATATGGCCGCTGATTTGTCTGGGCCTGCTTTTTCAGGAACACACTGAACAAACAAACAAAATTCAAACATTTAATGAAATTATTTAAAAATAAAATTCAACAGACTTATTAACAGAAATGGGCAGAGTACTTAAATTTAACTTAAAATTTATGTGCGGAACAGCAACACGTAACTTCATAATTATTGGGTATTCTGTTAATTATAATATGAAAATCATTCACACAACAAATCATTTGGGTCGATTGTCTTTGACAACCTGGCAGTTAAAATATTAGTTAAAATCACGCTGATTATTTGACTTACCAATGTAGCTCATCCAGAAGCACAGACAGAGCAAAATGACCACAAATAACTTCATCATGGACATGTCAACAAGACAAACGAAGAACCCAAAGTCTTCTTTTTCTGCGTGCTTCGTATTTGCTCGAGGCAAACGAGGAAGTGATTTAGTTTACACACGTATTCTGCTAAGGACACTCACTGCTTCGAAAGTGAAACAAAAAGCGATTGAATGACTGTACGCATATTATTTCGAACGTTTTGAAGAAAAGGAAATTTCATGTAGAAAGGGAACTGGCGAACCTGCATTGTTTTACCTTGTAAATGATATGCACTCGAACTATACGAGCGTTTCGATAGTTATCAGGGTTCTGGGAAAACATTGATTCCTCACGACGTGAAGGATAGAGGGCGCTATGTGATCTGGCAAAGAAGGCTTGGGAAGGACAACCGGTTTTTGGTCGCTTCACATCCGTCGTTGTTGACGGCACGTGGACTGCGGCGTGATATCACGCAAGCTGACTTGATTTCACGGAGACTCGACGTGACGTGACGTGACGTGACTCGATGTGGCTTGACGTGACGGTACTTGACGTGACCGTGACGTGACTCGACCGTGACGTACAATAAAGTGACTTGAAGGGACAGAGGTGACTTTGCGTGACTGGACGTGACATGCACGACGTATCGTGACTTAACCTGACTCGACCTGACCTTAAACCAGGCCTGGAATGACTGGACGTGCATACTGCATGACTTATGGACCTAATGCCTTGCCCACACCTTTCCGATTGTACCGTTTCACAAGATCTTCGGGCCATCGTGCAGATGTGCGCGGTGAAACTTTGGACCGAACTGACCTTACACCAGGCGACCGGATGAAATCAAACATGTTTGATTTTGTTTGCATCCGATTGCATCGGACCTGATTTCACCGGATGTTTATGCTAACCAATCAGATACACAAAGGAGGTCACATGCTTGTCAGAATGTGACTGGTCATACCGTGACTGATCATCATGTATGCGGGTAACGGAGCGGTCTAACTGCAACGATGAACTACAGTCAAACCTGCCTTAGCGACCCACTGTACAGAAAGACCACCTGTCCGTTACGACCATTTAAAAGTCCCCCGCTGACAAATCCCATTACTTAAGTCCTGTATAGAAAGACCACCTGCTTAACGCGACCAGCGACCGCACATTTTGCTTCCGTATGAATGCTTAAGTCTGTACAGAACGACCGCAAGCCATGAAAAGCGACCACAAAATGCCCACTTGTTTCTGTACAATGGTTGATTCCTTACTCAAAAGAAAAAGCAAGAGCCACATAAACCACTTCAGAGGATTAGTAACTCAACCACAGGATTTCCAGGACATTTTCAAGCTTAATCTGGGTCTGTGGTCCATCAACAATGCCCCTATTGTCAGTGCAGCAGCTTGGATAGCTGAGCTCCATTCAACAAAATGCACTAGGCATGTGCATGACTTGTGACCTATCAGTATCAGTCTCGTCCACTCACATACTTTTGTTATCATTAAAATAAATTAAATTAAAATTCGTTTACATGTTTTCTGAAAAACAAAAACACACAACATACTCAAGTATTTTTGTTGTCAAGTTTATTAATCAACTTTATTTTTAAATCGTGAAAAAAAGATTTAACTGTTTTTGTGCTCTTGATCGACATTTGAGCTTTTCAGCAATTTTGCTAACATGTGCATTTTGCACATTGTGTTTACACAACATCGCTTAGATTACATCTGCCCTGTCATTTATAAAGCGAGTTTGTTCCAATATTGCTTTTGAAAAAGAAAGAATATGGCTCCAAATTCTTCAAGCCCGAATCCTGAAAGGAATTATTGAAATTAGCTTTCACTTCAAATGAAAATGGAGGTCATAACTTAAGTTGATCGTGTGATCGTTGACAATCTCGGAAAGAGAAACTTCCCCTTCGTTGTAGGACTACTTTTACTTGTGGTTGTGCAGGTATTGCTGCTCCAGTACAGCTGATTCTCACATAATATTAACATAAAATAATAAACTCTTTTTGAAATCATTCACATTTATGACTTTTTATTTCGGGGGGCACGTGCCTCCCCCCCCCCTGGAAAACCTAGTGCCCCCCGAGTGCCCCCCCCCCCCCCCATCAAATGCTGGTGCCCCCCTTTCCTCTGCAAAATTCTGCGCGTTGTTAAAATCATTACCTCAAAAATAGCAATTTCTTGAGATATCTTCAGATCGAATTTAGCATCAAATGTGGCACCATTTTGCATCTAGCCCATCCTCCGTATGCGAAAATTTTCCAAAGACCCCTCCCCCAGGACGGCGATCCGTATCCACCTAAGTGCCCCCCCCCCCTCAAATGCTGGTGCCCCCCCCCTGTGCCCCCCCCCCAGACTGAAAAGTCTGGTGACGCCACTGCTTTCAGTTAGCGGCGTAGCCAGGATTGTCATCCTGGGGGAGGGGGGGGGGGTGAGTGGGGAGGGGGCTGGATGTTACAGATTGGGGCGTCCAATTGTATCCGTGCTGAAAAGTAGACAGGTTTATTTTCCCTGACACTGAACCTTCGTCTTTCAATAGGGGCGCTGTTCAAAACCAAATTCATGGTCATCGTCACACAATGTATAGGCATCGTTATAATGCACGGGACGCTAAAGTTAAAATCCAATTTTGAAAGAAAAAGAAATAGTCGCCAAAATTATAAAAATAAGACACCTTATTTTAAACCCGATAATCATGTTTTTCTTATTTTCTCCGATCATATTGCCAAATGTGCACTGGAAAAGACTGGGGGCGGATTTTTATGAGAGACGCCCCTCCCCCTCCCCTAGCTACACCGCTGCTTCAGGATTTTAAGGTTTTTTTAATTCAACCAATCTATTTTTGAATAAAACTATTTTGAAATTTAGAAAGGCCCTAAATTACAAAAGTAGCTACACAAAAGCTGCTACCCTTGATTATTTGCATCGTCACCAAGAGTGCAATATGTCCTTGTTTGCATTGTTATCTTAGACGCTCCATAGCAACCGCCTCAAGTTGTGCATCATCGTCGGTCTGATTTCGAAAAAACAGCTCCGGGTTAGGCCAAAAAAAAAGGCTCGCGCGTCGCCGTAGCCATGCGCGTCGGCAAAATGAAAAAGTTTTTTTTTTCAATAAAAGATGATGTCTCAAAACCGCCAAACTAACTGGTTTGACTGGAATCCTGCTGCTGCACAATTGTTACGTGTTTTTAGATGGGGTTATGATCGAGAAGAAGCTTTATGTGGCCTATCTGGACTCCCATATATTTGCACTTGGTTTAGTTGGGCACCATTTGCAGTCATCAGCCGACATTTGAAGCAAAAAAAAACGGGAGGGGGGAAGCCGCGTCGCCTCACCACTTTTTGGGCAAGCTCCATACCAGAAACCGGAGACTTTTTTGTTGGCCTTATTTGCAGGGTCACCGAGCGTGCAATATGTCCTTGTTTGCACTGTCACCTTAGGTGCTCCATAGCAACCGCACATTGTTGTGCTTCACCGTCGGTCTGATTGCGAAAGCACACTTGGAAAAGTCCCTACTTAACATAATTAGACTGGTGATGTGCATGTGCGGCAGTTGAAGAGGAAACGTGGTGTCAGCTAGGTTGTCCCTTAATCAGGAAGGGTTTTCCTTCAGTTGTACACTTGGAAACCATGATATTATCATACTGCCTTTAGTCAATAATAGAAGCCTATTAACCTAGTCATGCTGTTTCCAAAGCACATACAAAAATCACATTTAATTCATTTCTAATACCTATTTTAAGTCTTTTCACGGCATCTGATTTTCACAAGAGACCTTATTTTTTTTTTTTTTTTTTTTTTAGAAAATCGCCCAAGCAAGACTATACAAGCCACTCTTGGCAAAGGGCTAGGAAGAAGAAAACTATCCTGAAAAGAAAAATTATAATCAGGGAAGTTGGAGGTAGGAATTGATAATTCTCTTAAAGGAGAATAGATCATTGAATGGAAGGAAACAGCATAGGCAAGGACTTACAATAAGTTACCGAACTTTGGACAAAAACTACTAGTTTAGCTCTTTAATTGACCTACAACCCGGCACGGATAGAGAGTATGGGTGAAAGGAAGCAGACAGCCCATTTTTCATGACACTCTGTGTAATAACGTCTACAACGGTCGGTCGGTCGTTTATAATTATTTGCTGGCGGGTCGCTCGGTCGTCGATCTGTCGCCTTCGGACAGTCAGTCAGTCCGTTAGTCAATTAAATTTAAAGGCTCACAGACAACACTGGGCTTTTCATGGTAGGGACCACTCAGAACAAGAATAGACGTCAAATGACTTCACACCTACGAAGACAAAGGCATCTGGTTATCCAGATTCCACCAACAGAACCAACTCGTGCACTGGTCTGGCATACGTCTTTCCAGTTGATGGCAAACGGACATTCACCTTTCGAACCAATCCATCATCTCCAGGACTGACACCGTCAACAATACCCAGAGGCCACTGGTTTCTCCTGATGTCTTTATCTCTCAACAACACTACGTCCCCAACTGCAATGTTTCTCTCCGGGTTGATCCATTTACGCCTGTGCTGAAGACTCTGGAGGTAACGGAGCCTCCATTGTTTCCAAAACCGGTCGGCGAGAACTTGAACCATCTTCCACTGAGCCCTGTACATGTTGGAAGCGGAGTCTTCGACGATCACTTCATCGATACTTCCATGTTTCTGAGTCAGCAACATTGATGGGGTGAGGAAGGAAGTATCCTCTGGGTCGGAGGTCAACGGGACGAGAGGTCGAGCGTTGACTATGGCCATGACCTCTGTCATAAAAGTGACTAGTGTCTCGTGAGTAAGACTTTGATGTTTGGTTTCGAGCAGGATGCCGTTGAGAATCTTTTTGGTCACGCCGATCAGTCTTTCCCAAACTCCTCCCATATGAGGGGCATGGGGAGGATTCAGTTTCCATTGTGTGTCATTCTTCTCAAGGTAAGACTGAAAGAGCTTGTCGTTCATCACTCCTACAAAATTTGATCCTTGATCAGACCAAAACACTTCGACTTTGCCTCGCAAGGCTATGAAGCGTCGCAGGGCGTTAATGCATGATGAAGTGCTCATTTCCTCAATGACTTCGATGTGGACAGCTCTGGACGTGAGACATGAGAATATCATTCCCCATCTTTTGCTTTGAGCAGTCCCGCCTCGGGTTCTTCTGCTGACCACCTCCCAAGGCCCAAAACAGTCTATGCCAACCTGAGTGAAGGGAGGGCCGGGTTTGAGACGTTCTTCCGGGAGATCTGCCATGCGCTGTGATGCCAACTTCCCTCTAGCCTTCGACAAACAACACAGTGGTGAATGACCGAGGACACCAATCTCTTGCAGCCTGTTATCCAGAAACCAGCCTCGCGCAAAGAACTCTCTGTTAACTGCCTACCAGGATGGCCAACACTGTGATAGTGTCGGACAAGAAGCCTAGCAATGTGACTCTTTCCAGGAATCAGTACCGGATGCTTCAATACCACTGGAAGGGAAGACTTCCTTAGGCGTCCACCAACGCAGATCAGCCCATCTTGGTTGAGCATTGGCGACAAGTCTAGGAGTGGACTGCCACGTGGTAAGGGTGTACCTTCTCGCAGGCAGATGAGTTCCTGATGATAGAACTGCTCTTGTACCATCCGCACCATCATTGTCTGGACATCACGTTTGAGTTTTACATCTTTGACATGACTCTGGGTTTGCTCATTCCTTGTGCTGAAGGACCTGGCCACGTGAACAAGCAGGCTGAAAGCTCTGATCAAGCTGGTCCACGTTGAAAACCTGTTGGCCCGTGAGACAAGATTTGCTGGTTCCAATTTGGTTTTAGTTACCTGGATTTTCACCTCGCGCCTTATTTCGATGTCGTCTTCAGGGTTTACCAGGGGGAACTCTGATGACGTGACCTCCGTTGATACCGGCACCTGTTGTTGTGGACCTTCAAGCCACGAGGAGTGCTTTAAGCTCTGTGTAGCAATCGGACGTGTGCCACAGTCAGCAGGGTTCTTGCCTGTGGGCACATACATCCATTGGCAAGGCCTAGAGAAGTTGAGAACCTTATGAACTCGATTTGCGACGTATGTGTGGAACCGTCTGGTAGTATTGTTCAGATACCCAAGAACAATCTTGCTGTCTGTGTGATACTTCACACCTGAAGGCTGAATATCCATCTCCCTGCATATCACTTTGCTGATTTCCGTCGCCAGGACTGCAGCACAAAGCTCGAGTCTAGGAACAGTATGGCCTGCTTTAGGAGCCAGCTTTGATTTGCCGAAGACAAATCCCGACCTGGGTTCCTCTGCTCCTACCAAGTATGCAACCGCAGCAACCGCCACCTCAGAAGCATCACAGTAGATGTGCAGCACTCCATTCTCAGGGTGAGCTGGGTAGGTACGGGGAACTGACAGGTACTGCAGCTCAGCTAACCCAGACTTCCAAGACTCCCAGACTACTCTATATTCATCTGGAAGGCTATCATCCCAACCAGCGTTGTGTGCAGTCATATCCCTGAACAAGACTCTTGCCTGTATCATGACTGGTGCGAGAAAACCAAGAGGATCGAACACCCCGTTGATGGTTGACAGAACACCCCGTCTCGTGTAGGGCCTTTCCTCCAGGTCCGTTTGAAACCTAAAGGTGTCATCACATATGTTCCACAGAACGCCCAAACTTCTCTGTGTGGGTACACCGTCGCTGAGCGTGAGGTTCCTTATGTCTTTCTGGACTTCCTCTGGCTCGAATGCATCGAGGACTTCTTGGGAGTTGGAAGCAATTTTGTGTAAACGAACACCAGCCTTCTCCATCAACATGGACCTGGTGCGCTTGATAAGCGAGATGGCTGTGTCACTGTCATCACATGACGCAAGTCCGTCATCCACGTAAAATTCATTGTTGATGAATTCTCGGACATCAGGTTCGGCATCTTTAGCCAGATCTCTCAAACCATACGTAGCTACCGCTGGTGAGGGTGTGTTGCCAAACACATGTTTACGCATACGGAACTCGATGAGAGGTTTGTTGAAATCATTGTTCTTGTGCCAGAAGAAGCGAAGAAAGTTCCGGTGTCTCTCCGACACAGAGAAACAGAAGAACATTGATTCAATGTCTCCACAAACTGCTACACGTCCCCGACGGAACCTCATGAGGACGCCCACCAAGTCATTGGTGAGGTCAGGACCCTTCAACAGTACCTTGTTGAGAGAGTGGCCTAGGAACTCGGCTGAAGAATCAAAGACACCCCTGATCTTGTCTTTCTTTTTGGGGTGGTACACGCCGAAGAAAGGTAAGTACCAACACTCTTCGTCTGGTTGAAGAGGAGGCGCAACTTCCGCGTGGCCATGAGAAATCACCCCTTCCATGAATGTCAGCATGTGCTCCCTCTTGGTGGGATCCCTCTCCATGCCTTTTCGAAGAATTTGGGCACGTTTGAAGGCTTGCTGTCTGTTATTAGGCAGTCGGTCTCTTGGCTGCTTGAGGGGTAATGGTGCTGTCCACTGTCCATCTTCCAGGCCTCCTTCCCTCTTCATCAGATCTACAAACTGCTGCTCTTGGATGGACAGGCTAACACCATCGGAGTCATTGTCAAATAGATGCTTCACTTGAAACTCATTCGGACACGGCTCACGAGTCACACTTGACGTTTGCCTTGCACTCACGTGCAGAATGCTGCGGCATGCAGCATTTGAAGCAGAGATGATGATTCCTCAGAATGGCCCTCTTCTGTGGTTGGTTTTTGGAAAGAAAGGATCGGCATTTCACGATGGAGTGAGCGGTCTTATGGATGGGACAGTGCTCTCCTCCGGCATTAGGTTGCTTGACGTTCCCAACTTCAGTAACCCTTACACTGACAGTCCTCTTGGTGGCATCGTGTTGCTTGGGGTCGTGAGGCGTTGTAAGGCTGGGATCATTACGTACTTTCGCCTGGTAACTCACAAATTCGCTGAACACCTTGAATGGTGGGAAAGTCACTTGGTGTTTGTCTTTGTAACGAGCGCCCTCCATCAGCCATTTCTCCTGAAGGTTGTACGGCAGCTTCTCCACTAAGGGGCGTAACCCTCTGCCAGAGTCGAGGTGTAGCAATCCTGGGCAGTTGTCCATGTCCTTGACATACTCAATGTCCATGAGTAAGTGGCTGTATTCAAGGAGCTTGGCACTGTCCCGATGAGAGATCTTTGGAAAGCCTTCGATTCGCTGTTGCAGATCTTGCTCGACGACCTCTGGGGTGCCGTACTTCCGATCTAACAGGTTCCACATCCTGCTGAGACCTACATCCGGGCGGTCGACATGGATCGAATGGATCGGTGTTACCAACTTGCAAGAATCTTTTCCTAGCCACTTGAGCATCAAGTCCATTTCTTGCGAGGGCTTTACTTTGATTTCTGCTGTAGCCTGTTTGAAAGATGCTTTCCAAGATTTGTAAGCACCTGGTTCGTCATTAAACATTCTTAAACCACTAGTTACTAACTTTTTTTTCATTAACATGTTGCTCACCTCAGATATTACCTTTATTGAATCAAGATGCTGGGGTGAGGGGGCAGTAAGGGAATCATTAACCTGTGTATGTCCTTGACAATCTACAGTTTTACTTGCATTTTTACAAGAGGACAAGTACTGTTCTACTCGTTCTTTGTAGCCTCCGCTGGGAAGATTCAGGTCATCGCTTTTCCTTGAGGATCCGCATACGTCTTGTCCGGTCTCGAGAACCGCAGCCTCCACTTCCGCCATAGCAGCATCCCTTTCTGCGTTGAGTAGAAGGAGGGCAGCTTCCTGTGTCGCATTCTGTTTTCTAAGCTCGGCCTCCTTGCGAGCAAACTCCAACCTCACCTTGGCCGCCTCAGCCTTGGCGCGGGCCTTCAGTGAAGCAGAGTTACAGGATGATAGTGCACTGGCACTGGACCGTTTTGAAATCAGGCTGGGGGCTTTATCCTGTGGGGCTGAGTGAGAGTTTCCATTTTCAGATAACAATGGCATTTCCAAAGAGTTTTCCTCTTTGAAGTCCGGTTGGCTTGGCTTTTCGGACTTGATTGACATGATGAATTCTGAAGTCCTCCAGGAGACACGTTGAGTCGATGACTGGGTGACGTAAGTCTTTTTACTATACTGGCCTCGAAGCAAAACGAGAAAGCCCCTATCCAGTAGTTTAACCACACGGCATTAAGAAGTAAACTGGAAGACACTTGAGTTGAAATTACTCATCTTTAATCCAGAACTACTCCCTTGCCTAGATACGGTAAAACTGTAAGAAAAATACAAAAAACTTGTATCGGTTATGCATGTCTACATGGTACATGTACATATATGTGAAAAAGTAAGCATTCAATAAAGACCTAACACAGTTTAAGAAAAAGACAGATACATCCTCATGTGATCGTACAAAACATTCAAATACATCGGGAATCCAAAATAGTGAGAAATTCCGTGAAACCAAAATAATTACAGGTATGTGTACATGAAATGAAAAGCTACCATGTCCAGTCAACAAAAACTTACAGACTTGTGGATTTCCAATCTTCCTGGAAAATCAGAAGCTCTATGGATGTGTCATGTAATCACGCTGTAAAAACAATCCATAAATGTAGGCCCTTAAACAATGTGTGTGCAGTTGAGATGATTATAACAACGCATTATACAATACACAGTACATTATACAATACACAATATAGAGCATGTCAAGGGTCGCACAAGAATATAACCAAAGTTAGGCTTCTAACGATAATTTAAACATTGACAAACTTCAAAGGTTAACACTCACAAGGTTTAGAAAACCTAGCATACTCTTCCACGACGTCTGTCCAAACTGCAGAATAATGTGTAACTCCTGCAACAAGTAATAAAAGGGGACTCTAAATAATCATAACACGAAGCCTAACAACGATACATGTAGAGAATCTACGAGACATAACATGGCTTATACAAGAAAAGAAGCTTAAATTTATCCCACAAGAATTCCACAATTTAAGCACCCAAATCATCTACTCTAATTATCTGAGAGCAAAACAAATGATGTCAACTTACATAAGGACATGTGGATGCAGAACAAAAGGCAAGAAACTCTAAGAACACTCATAATTTAGACGTTCTATTTACATAGTTGTCGAGACTGCGCGAACATGAAAAACACAGCCCCGCTGCCACAAGGTTCAGACAGACAGGCGCATGCGCGATGCCCTTCTAAGCATGAGTATGGCACGCCTGTGTATGGAAGGCATACACAACAAAAAAGGCGTACAGCACAATCTTCTACTGGGAATCAGGCCAGCGTGTTAGTATGGGATCAGCTATCCAGTCTAATAATGATCAGCAAACTGCAACGGTAGACCGATCAAGGTACAAAGTTTCTACGTGTGTTCGTAATTCTGGGTAGTGTGCTGAAATTAAAGGTCAGCTTATAAAATGGGGATACTATTATTGTCCGTTGACATGTAACTTAGGGTGTTCTTTGATAGTGGTATATAACCTCACCGTACTTCTACTACACGTATCGTAGAACAAGGAACCGTTGCCTACACGCAGTCAACCAGGCTAAACTAGTCATGGCATACCTCCGACGATTATTTCAATGTATGTACAAACTTTATGTATTGTCTATGCCAGATAGTTATGTTGCCTTGTTTGTATATGCCATTTCATAAGATTTCAACCGAAGAAATACGTGTTGATTTTATACATGTTGTGCTTATTTGTGTGTATTTCAATCGCTCGTACCCACCGCTCTGGAAACAGGGCGCAAGGAAGGGCTGATGAGCTGCACAAAATCTTGTGAAGGAAGTGACCTATGACCTTCATATAAAGCATCTGGCTGCAGCTGTTAAAGACCGCAGTTAGACAATGCGCGCAAATGCTATCCGAAAACCTCCCATAGAAATGCACACATTCCATAACGGAAGTGATTTCTTTGTCATTGCGGACACTGTGGAACAATTTTGAGCATCGCATAATGCAATCATTGACCCTTCGGGAATTCGAAACGGAGCCTGTGCAAATGACGGAAATCACAAATTTACAACACAGTTAAGTTTTTCCTACATTATAACGCTTTTCAACAAAAACAAAAGCATTTATGCAGAGTAATGAATCAGTCCTAACGGCCGTTTAAAACCTTGCAGGGTCGTGGTCGTAATGACTTCAGGTCACAGGTTACGCAAAATCTATCCAATCAGAGCCTGAATTCATCAGCCATTTCCATGCATTGTCCTGTTCGAGCGAAGTGTTTCAACTGAGCACAGTTACATGACGAACGCATGCGCTAACTTCACCGTTCCTAAAAAGGGAAATGATTAAAGTCATAATAAACTTTCCACTAACGAAAATAGTACTGTTTTGCTTTTGATCAGCAAAAAAATCATTCAGTTGGGCCACGAACTTTGGAGACATTGCGATCGAAAGACGGTGCTTTAACTATTTTGGAGTTCCAGATAATGATGACACTCCGTGCTACTTTCGAGGTTATTTCTCTAATAACAATACAAACGTTATTTACCATTGAATGAAACATCACATGAAAAAAACACCCCAAGTGCAGGTCTTGCCGGATACACTTCGAATGTAGGAACAGGAAGCTAGCAATGAATCCTAAATACGTTAGGAGGTTTTCATCAAGCAAAACCTATGCAGGACTGGCCTACGTCTGGACCTACCATTCAAAATCACAGTAATATTTTGTTTCCCAGAACCCTGCACGGAACCAGCAAAATGGTAACAAGGTTTACCACTATTATGTGCAAGTTGTGTGGTGATAAGCTTCCTTTTTGCTGAATTGGAAAGTATCTCTGGCAACTGTCATTTAAGAGAGGGGCGCCAATGTTCAGTGTTTGAAACCTATCATGCTTTTGTAGTTGGAAAGGGTTAGTGTTGCTTTTGTTGAAACACTGACGATCTCGATAATCTAATCCATTCGTTAAACTATCAATAAGTAGGAACTGCAGTGCGTCTAACCACAATTTACATACCTACTTGAAACAGGGGAATATGAACAAAAAAATAAAGCAGATGAGCCATGTAGAAAACTTGCTGGAACGGTGCCCCAGTTGATGCCCATGCTTTGCATAGATTTGCATACAGTATCATGTTTATATGTTTTGATGTTGCCAAGCAGTGCGTACCCACGGGGGAGGGGGGGCGTGGGGGGGGGGGGCGACAGCCTGTGGGGGGGGGGGCACTGGGGGTCGCCCCCCAGTGCCCCCCCCCCACTGAGATTTTGAGTTTCTAAAAAAAAATATCATTGATCTACATGACGTCCCCCCCCCCTCATGAAATGTTCCAGCCCCCAGCGGCCCCCCCCCCCCCCCCCCACTGAAAAGTTCCTGGCTACGCCACTGTTGCCAAGGACTTAGGGTCCTAACTAAGCATGCTAAAACACTGTCGTGTGAATCGACCCTGCTCGAAAGACACTGGGCACATGTTGAGAATGTGGAGTAGGGACAATCTATCTAACTCCACAAATGCTGCACTTTTCCCCACAACATCAGATTATCTGGGCTAGGAAAACTACCAATAGTTTCCCTCAAGGGCGGAAATCGCTCCTCGAACGTGGGGGAACAGGTTTTGTGGTCGGTTCTGCACAGATGCACTGACATACGGAATAGCCTTCCTGAAGTTGTGGTTTCAGCACCTAGTACACGGCCCATATGCAATTTCGGGTACATTCTTTGAAACTCTCAGGATCACTAGAGGATACCTCAAGAAGTTCAAAACCACTTGATGCCATTTTTTTCTGACCCTTTTGTGGGCGTGGCCATGATTTTAAAAAATGGGGGCATTGCGCGCAAAAAAATATTGCAAAAAATTTTACTTTTCTTTTTCGCGTTCGGACAGTTCACCCAAGTGCTACATCTAAAGAAAAACATTCCACAATTTTGCCTCTTTTGGGGGTGGGCAGCATTTTAAAAAGTGGGGGTCACATGTCGCTAACAGAAAATCGACCTGTAACAGGCAATCTTGAGGTTTTTGTTTTTGTTTTGTTTTTGTTTCAATCCATTATAATTTGGTTAGGAAAAATGGTTACATGTCAACTCATAAATTCTTTGGCTCCAATTTGGGGGCATGTCACACTTTTTTTTCATAAAAAGGGGGCATACGTGTATTCCAAAAGGAAGCTTGTGTGAGCCCATACGAATTATTGCACATTCTTTCAAACTCTCACAAAGACCTCTGGACACCTCAACAAGTGGAAATCTGCCCCACCCTACCCCCCTCCCCCATTGGCCATTCAAATGGCAGCCGTTTTTAACATATATCTGGCATATGGTACACATACAAATGGACAAATAATCAATTTTATGAGACATTTATGTTTTGATATACAGTGAAATCTCGATAAGTCAAACTTTGAGAGAATGGGCTCAAAATGTGAGCTATGCTGATTTTGAGTCAAGCAGGGTTGTATATCACTGTTATACAACTGAAGGGAATAATTAGTCTTTGTTTGACTGAACAGTAGGTTTGATTTATCAGAGGTTGACTTGCTGAGATTTCACTGTAGTTTATTTTGTCCTGACAACAATGCTGACCTTGTTTTATAGCATACAAACTGCAATAGCCTTTTTAACTTTAAATGTATTCATCTTCACTTTATTTATAAAAATGATATTATGAAATGTGGTACTCGATCATTGGAAATAAAGTTTGAAAATTACAAATTGCAATATTAAGAGTAAAGCTTGCCAAACTTGGGTGATTTAGTGAATCCTACATAAGTCATTTGTAATTGGACAACATATTTGGTATTTAATATCCATGACGTTATTTAGTAATAGAAAGTGTGAGACTATATTGTCAATAGTTTCAGAATCCAGATCTGGATGGATTGGTGCCATACTTTAAGATTGGATATATCAGAAGGAAAACTTGATATCCGAAGCCTCTGTCAAGAGGTTTGCCTAACTTTTGAGTTTTTCGCTTTGGAAAACCATGCTGAAATGTTAAGGTAAAGGATTTGTAGTTATTAAAATACTTTTATAATTTGAACTAGTCACATGTTTTTCTTGAATCTTTGGGGAGCCAGGTTGGCGCTTGGGGAGTCAGATTGGCTCATTGGTTACTTTCCTCGCCTTTAATCGCAGGGTTCGATTTCTGCCTGGGCCTTCATGTGGATTGGGTTTTCAGAAACTATTGGCAATATAGTCATCAAAGTTTCAGCCTAAGATGTGTTTCTCTACTCGGTGGCTACAAAACCTTTTGATATATCCAATCTTGAAGTACATCATCAATCATATAATTTATGGTGATATGCCAAATTTAAAACTGTTAATTGAAACAAATCTTGTGTAATCCATCCAGATCTAGATTCTGAAACTATTGACAATTTAGTCTCACACTTTTCTATTACTAAATAACGTCATGGATAATAAATACCAAATATGTTGTCCAATTTTCACAAATATCTGCAGAATAAAATGTAGCACCTCTTTAACTTTCTGTGTGCAGATGTCGTAAAGTTACAATTTACATGTAGAACTGAAAATGTGACATGGATTAGACTTAGAGTGACAATGAAGACTAAAGTAGGGCCTACATGTACATGTAGGCTACACTGACCAAAAAACTAGGCCTACTTCATTTAGTCAGGGCCAAATATTGTAGCATAGCAGCGCACTTTGAACGCTTCCTGTAGGTTTGGGGTATCTTCTTTCCAAGAAAATGTCACTGTTTCCCCATTTACCGTTGAACGGTCGCACTCGCTACTGCAACAGACTCAACCAGCTGATGAGGCTGCATTTGGTCTGCTCCCATGAAAAAATGAGGCATATTAAAGTTGTAGTTTCCGCTTCATGGTTGCTTCTCGGCAGGATCTTGTTTCATCACAGGCTTTGCTTCCATGTTACTAGAATTGTCCTGAAACCAAATTTTGAGAGTTACAAATTAATCATCATGTTGACATCCTGTTCTGATTACTACCATTACCCTTGTACCCTGTGCAACCAGTGGAACCAAAGAGAACTGATATAAACTGCTGATTTTGTTTAAGTAAGTCCAATTCATTTTTTTCTTAATTTTCTCTGCTTCCAAACACACAATGCATGATATTTTTTGTGGGTCACCAAAATAATGCAATGTGCACACAGCAGATCACAGTTTATTTGGGGTTCACTGAGTATATTAGGCTAAACATAAGGTATAGAAACAGTTGACTAACCATGCCAATGGCTGTTAGTATTTGAGAAGCGGTTTCGCTGGTGGCCGCGCAATCGACAGATAGCATCACAATCATCCGATGTACTAGTACTAAGGGCCTTTCCTGTTTGTAAAACTTGTTACATAAAGGTACTAAAAAAAATTCAACTCGAACTGGAAAAAAAATGGTTTAAAGGTGTTAATAATGTGGCCAAACCCCGCCGGCGTTGGCATACCGTTCGTACACATGTCGTACAGACTAGACATGACGGAATGCCATGGTAAACGTTTACAAAGTCAACGTTTTTTATCATAAAAATTAAACTGCAACCCAGGCTTACCTTTCGCATAGACTTCTTTCTGGCTTCGGAGGTCGTCGACGAAAATTCAGTACATTTTTACCCTCCTTTTTTTCTACGTGTTCATCGCGTGAGGCAATGCAAGGTGTCCGCCATTTTGGATGCCGCGGTAAACATTAAGATGTTGTCTGCACTACTGTACTGTATGGTACATGGTGGGTGCGTACTGCTGCTCGACAACCTGGGGATGTTGTTCGTTTATTTCTGAGTTCTTCGTTTATTTCTGAGTTGTTCGGTTATTTCTGAGTTCGTATATATTTCTGAGTTGATCGTTTATTTCTGAGTTGGTCGTTTATATATGAGTAGATTATTTATTTTTGAGTTGTTCGTATATTTTTGAGTTGATCGTTTATTTTTTAGTTGTTTGTTTATTTTCAAGTGGTTTGTTTATTTTTCAGCTGTTCGTTTATTTTTGAGTCGTTCATTTATTTTTGAGTTGTTGGTTTATTTCTGAGTAGATTGATTATTTCTGAGTTGTTCGTTTATTTTTTAGTTGATCGTATATTTCTGAGTTGTTCGTTTATTTCTGTGTATTTTCGTTTAATTTTGTGGTTTCGTTTTATTTTTGTTTTTGTCTTTTTTTGCCCTAATGGTCGCCCATACCTGCATGCTTCCACGTGAGTATATGTATATATATCATACTAGTACAGGGAGCTCCAAAAACTCGGGAGTGACTGCGTAATGGATTGACAACACTGCATAATAGATTCACTACACCACGTAATGATTCGGCAGTAGCCAGGGTGACCGTTTTAGCTGAATTTCAGATTTTTAGCAGAATTTCATTAAGCAGATTTTTAGCAGAATTTTATAAAATTGGTGATTTGACAGAAAAGTGGTGATTTGTCTTAAGACGCACCGCTGGAAAGACCTATTTTCGTTGATTTCTTCCAAATGACAGCTTGCCAGAAAGAATAATTTCGCAGAGAGTTTAGTCCCCTTACTATCTTTCAACCAAGTATGTGTTTCAACAATAATTACGCCAGTTACTTTTTGGATAGCTGATGGAATCTGGCTTTAATAGAAATTCCAATGGCCCAAACAATGGACCGATCCAGTAAGCACCGCCCCATGGTGTTCTGACCAATCACAGCCGTGATTTATGTACGACGTGCGTGCACAACAGTCCGACATGCGTGCACGCGCGTATGATGCGCGCGGCAGGAAAATGGTGCAGTGTGGCATTTGAGAGGAGCACGTATTAATTTGCCCAGTACGCAGTGGGCGGGGCTTCTTGGATCGGTCTATTGGCTATAGGACAACCTAATTTTGGGTAGTTGCAGTTTTCACCCTTTCTTGTATTAATCCAGGCAATTTTTCAGTGCACCCACCAACACAGGCGCGGATCGGGGGGGGGGGGGCAACCCCCCCCGGTCTCTGTCCAAAAAAAACCCAATTATCATACAAATTCCTACAAAATAATTCGACCCCCCCCCTGCTGTGACACCCCCCCAAAAAATATACTGGTATAATGTCCGCCTGCTCAAAATACGGTACACCATTCTGTAATCTAGTGTTAATAATCGTCGAATTTGAACAGCGCCTCCTGCTGACCTGCTGAAAAATGGTACCACACCCCCCCCTAGACTTGACTCAAGTCGGAATGGTTCCACTTCAGTGCCGTATAACAATGCGCACATACATTGTATAACACGCGTATTACACGTACCTGTTTGTGCATGTATTGCAGAGCATGTGCATAATTACATGAGGTGCAAAAGTTAGCAATTCCGACTTGATTGGTTGCTGCATCACTTGAAAATAACATGTACATGTACGTTTTTAACACGATGGTCCAGATTCGACGCATGAGGGCGCGCGTTATGTACTGTAAGGACGTATGCGACATGCGCCGCAGTGAGTGGATTTAGGCGCAGACTGAGGGCAACCCAGACTTGGCCAAGTCTACCCCCCCCCCTGCAAAATATCCTGGATCCGCCCCTGCCAAACAAGTGTGTAAGACACCTTCAATCGTGGACCTCCCTCTTTGTTTGTATACTTCAGGTTTTTATAGGAAGACTTCCCATTATGTTTTGGGGGTCTACCCGATGTTCCCAATACCTATGTTCCCCAATACCGATGTTCCCCGAAATCCTTAGGATTAGGGTAAGGTTAGGGTTAGGTTAAGGATTTCGGGGAACAACATTTTTGTCTGCAGGTCCACGATTGACGATTGTGTACAAAACATGAGTCCATACGAAAATTGCTCGCGTAATTCTCAAGGTTTGGCACACATTGTAATTATTTCTGCTCCATATACCATGGAGGAATAAATAAATACCTGTAGTCTACGAGAGCTGTATGCAATAACTATGCGCATGACCGACTTTGTGGAGGAGATAAACCAAGTGCCATTGTTCCTGTCGTTAAGGCAACACCTGCCACTGCCCCAGGCCTGGACAAGAATAAAAAGGCCTTGAGACTGAGAATACATTGTATAGCAAAGGCATTTTTTTTGAGTGAGGGATTGAGCCTTTGGAAAAACCAAGTCTGCATGGGAGCTATGGGGACACATTAACTGTAGGGGCCGGAGTCAGAGGCACTAACTTTCTGTTGGCCTGCATGGGCGGGGGACAGATTGACCTTGATTGGGCAGCATTCCCTATCCCCCCTCCGCGACAAATTTACTGGGTCCCAACCCGGAAGGTAGTCTATGCAATAGACCATGGCGAAAGCCATGCATTACTTCTACAACATTTGAGCAGATTCGCTGATTAATTATGAAAGACAACCGGCGCATCTTGACCTCTACATTTTGACCAATCAGCGGGCGCTTTTTATATCGGGTCTTTGGTCATTGACTAGCTGTTGTCGCGTCATAGACATGGATAAAGGAATGGCACACAGCAACAAAAACGCTGTGGTCACGCGCTCTGTGTGTACGCGACACGTGCCCGGCTGTTGCTGTATTTCAAAACTCTGCATTCCAATTAACCAATCACAGTTTTTCTCCTGATTTGGGAATGAAATGACGTCACCATTTAGCAAACCCCGATGGGTTGAGGCGCAAGATCGAATAAATCTGTATGCTTTGACATATCAGACGTTATACAGGAGACTTGGCTCCGTGGTGATGCTCGGACTACCATGAAGGGGGGGGGGCAGAATTACTAATAGGCCTATTCACGTCTGACATCAACATTCGATTTATGATGGGAATCACAGGATTCCGCTGCTGTATATGTTATCATTAATTATGTTCTAAAATTCTGTAGGTGAGAAGAAAAATCGCCGCAAAATCGAAAATCACTTCCACATTGAAACGTTCAACGGCGTCATTACCATTGGACCAAGTTCTGGGAACACAATCAACTACGGACCAGGTAGTAATTCATACAAAGATTTTTTTAAAGAAGATTTTATTCACACGAAATATAAACACCCAATTCGGGCGATTAACAATGCAGTGCGCCTAGAGTTTGCCACGGAGAGTCCATTTCTCCTTACGTGCATTGTGGGAGATGTCGACAAATTTCAAGCGCGGGCGGGACATTTGAAATTGTTCGTTTTTCCGGTCATTACATGTAGTTTCGTAAGCGAATGATTTGAGTATCTGTTTGGCCTTTTTTTTTATCACTGGCGTGTTGGTGTTTGTTTTTGTAACACGGCAGAACGCTAAGCCCCAATCTAAATACGAATTTCTACAAAGTTTTCTACGGACACTCATTCAAATGGGTCATGTTTTATCGACCGTAAACTTGAAAAATGGACTCTCCATGACAAACTCGTGGTGGCGCACTGTGTTGTAAATCGCCCAAATTAAGATGTCGTGTATAGTTTATTATTGCCCCCTCCCGTAGCAATTGGTCATTTTACCACTCAGAAATTTGTCAATTCGACCCGGAAAATGTCATGTGGACCCGGAAAAAACCTGTCAGGTCCGACAGAACCCGCATTACGGGCCTAATATGACCAGGAACTTTTTAGAGTGTGAAGCAGCTACCAAATTAAAATTCCTGTCTCAAAATGATGAAACAGGCCCCTCATCGTCTCATTTAACCTCAAGGAACTTATCCCTTTATTGGTGGGTAGTTGGAGAAATCGTTAACATCACCAAATGAAAGTCGTCTTGATTTATAGTTTATAATGATAAATGTGACCTATTGTGGCAAAATGAGGAATGTACCCCAAAATTAATGGTTTGAGTAATCAACGCCTGAAGTTGAATTCACACTATGCCTTTTTGTTGGGGAAAAATGTCACAAAATTAAGAACGCCTTCCATTTCCGTTGGCGGCGCAATGCGTATTTCTTTTTTCAAAGCCGTCGATTTTCTCGATGGGAGGTTGGTGAAGTTCGGTGGGACACTGTTGAAGTTCTTGCGGCATTTATCTTTGGAATAAGTTAAGCTACAGGAATAAATTTGGTGTCATTGGAAAGCGTTAAGGAGTAGATTGTTGGTAGTTGGTAGCGCCTCAGGTTGCACCTTCATCACAAGCTCTCGCAAATTTCCATATTTTGTTGCCTAAAGTCATCTAGGTAGCTTCCTAAATTATACTGGTGGATCCTTGAATCACAGTGATCATTCTGGTTCATAGATCGCGAAATTCCAGTCTTCCAAGCTGCAGAATTCGAAGATTTTCATCCGTTTTCTCATTCGTGATTCAGGAAAGCATAGTAGCTTTCCCCAGCAGTGATTTTGATCTCCATTGTGCTTCAACAACCGTCTTGATGCATGGCTGACTCTGCTTTGTTCTCCATTGTGCTTACGCTATTGTTGGCGGTAGTCATGGTTTTGACTACAACAAACTGCTATAGCAGAACTGATCTACTGAACATGGCTCCCTCAGTAAAAACAAGAGTCCCTCTTCATGTCCACAACAGACTGAAGGAGCTTGGAATCAGTGTAGCCAGACCAACCAAAAGGGGCCGCAGATCATGGGCTAAAAGACAGAAACCAATCCCCGTCTTGACTCGTCATGACTGCTCACCTCGTGAGTTTCATCCTGATTACCAACCAAGTCAAAATGGTGCACACCTTACCAACCTTGTACCCATTTCATCCTGTACTAAACCAATGGTCCCCATTAAATTCGCATTATGGAACGCACGATCAATGAAGCCCAAAATCTCCGTCATATGTGACCTCATCATCTCAAGTTCTATTGATATTCTCGCTGTTACCGAAACATGGTTATCTGGTGATAATCGTGATCATCGTGCACTTGCTGATCTGACGTCTACACTTCCTGGTTACCAAATCCATCACATCCCTCGTATAAACCGAGCCGGTGGAGGTGTTTGTGTACTTCTTCGGAATAGCTTTGATGTTCACAAAAATGAAGGTAGATCATTTGAATCCTTTGAACATATTGATTTATCCATCAACGCCCGCTCTCATACCCCTCTTCGCCTCGTTGTCATCTACCGACCCCAAAGACTAGCCGATGGCCGTTTGACAGGTCCAACATTTTCCCCTGAATTTTCCACCCTCATCGAATCTGTTGTATCTGAGCCAGGGTACATTTTGGTTTCTGGAGACTTCAATTTTCACGTTGACGACGAATCTAACCGTGAAGCTACAATCTTTCGTGACCTCATCGACTCGTTTAATATCGAGCAGCATGTCGCTGGCCCAACACACCGCAATGGTCACACACTAGATCTTCTCTTAACGCGCTCAACAGATGACGCGATTTCCCAGGTTGACACTACTCATTACCTGCCTTCAGATCATGCTGCTGTAAAATGCTTGCTAAACATTAATAGACCTGACCCTGTCAAAAGAGAAATCAAGCTTCGTGAACTTCGCAAGATTGATTTTGAGGCCTTTCGTCTAGACATTCTTGCCTCACCACTAACCACTGCACCAGCCAACGACCTAGACTCGCTCATTCATCAATATGACACAACTTTGAATGATCTTCTGAACAAACACGCCCCCATGATCTCCCGTACCATTTTATCTCGACCTCATGCACCATGGTACAGTGAAAACATTCGCAAAGCAAAGAGAAAACTTCGAAAGTGCGAACGTCAGTGGAAATCCTCCAAACTAGAGTTCCACAAACAACTTCTCAACGAACAGAGCTACCACTATAATCAACTGATAATCAAGGCCAAATCTGAATATCACAGGACACAACTAAAGGACTGTGACTCCCGTCAACTGTTTCGCAAAGTTGACAAATTGTGCACTCCAAAATCTCCAAAAACCCTTCCGTCGGCTAATTTGTCATCTGAACCACTTGTTGATCGATTTTCACAGTTCTTTGCCAACAAAACACAAAACATCACTGAAGAACTTGACAACATTCCTGATCCCGTAGTTTCTAAGCCAGTGTCCGACACATGCATGACTACTCTTCACCAGTTTGAACCCCTGTCTGCAAACTCGGTGAGAAAGCTGATCACTGGTTCACCCTCTACAACATCCAGACTTGACCCGATTCCTACGTGGATTCTGAAGAGGTGTTTGGATGAACTTGTTCCAATCATCACGAATATCACCAACCGTTCTCTTCTGGATGGACATTTTCCTGAAGCACTGAAGCGAGCCCACATCACCCCCCTTCTCAAGAAACCTAACCTGGACACTGAACCTCTCAAGAACTACAGGCCCATCGCAAATCTGTCGTTTCTCTCAAAGACAATCGAACGTGCTGCTGCGGCCCAACTCCAAGATTACCTTTCAGACAATAATCTCCTTGGCAACATGCAGTCCGCATATAGGAAACATCATAGCGTTGAGACTGCCCTTCTCCGTGTCCAGAACGACCTACTTTTAGCTGCTGACAAGGGACAGGAAGCTGTTCTTGTTCTCCTTGATTATTCGTCTGCATTCGATACTATAGATCACAACATCATGCTTCAGCGTCTAACGAACAGATATGGCATATCCGGTCATGTAATCCATTGGTTCGGATCCTACCTCAAGAATCGCACTCAGAGTGTTGTCATCCAGGATGATCTTTCTGATCCACGTGTGCCAAATTGTGGTGTCCCACAGGGATCTGTGCTTGGTCCTCTGTGTTTTACTTTATACACATCACCCCTTGAAGACATCATTCAGGCTCATGGCATTGACAGAATGATATACGCTGACGACACGCAGGTCTACGTCATCATGAACGAGCGAGATCGCTCATCAGTCCTCGCAAAACTTGAACTTTGCCTTAACGACATTAAGGCATGGTCCGCCACTAATAAATTGAAATTGAATGAAGAAAAGACAGAGGTGATCCACATTACGTCTCGTTTCAGAAACCATTCCAGCCTTAGATCAATTTCCCTTGGCTGTTTTTCAATAGAACCTGTACAGAAAGTGCGTGATCTAGGTGTCACTGTTCAGACCAATCTCCAGATGGACATCCATGTAAATAACATCTGCAAATCATCATACCTGGCATTACACAAGATTGGACAAATTCGCAAATTTCTCGACAAACCTACCACAGAAAAGCTAGTTCACGCTTTTATCACATGCCGCCTTGATTTCTGCAACAGCCTTCTTCTTGGCCTACCTGACTCAACAATCTCCAAGTTACAACGAGTTCAGAACTCGGCAGCCAGATTGGTCACCCGAACCAAAAGTAGTGACCATATTTCACCAATCTTCCGCGACCTACACTGGCTTCCGGTTAGGCAACGGATTGTGTACAAAGTACTTCTGATTACGTATAACTGCATCCACGGCCATGCGCCAACATATCTACAGGATCTGATTAACAAATATGAACCTCCACGAAAACTCCGCTCCCACTCAAAATCCCTACTCACCTGTTCATCGTCATCTACAAGGACATACGGCCAGCGTGCTTTTTCTACATCGTCGCCCACTCTTTGGAACAAACTCCCCCAAAGCATCAAAGACGCACAAAGTCTGGACCAATTCAAATGCCTCCTCAAAACCCATTTGTTCAATTCTGATTAATTTTTTGTCCTATTTTTAATTTGTACAGCGCATTGGGACTCCGTGTGTAATGCGCTTAATAAGAACGGTTTTATTATTATTATTATAGTGCTTTAACAGGACGTACATAACTTGAAAAGTCAAAGAGGGGGTATTCCTAATTGTGATATAGCAGGTCACATATGATTTTTGGACTTGCATTTACAGTATTGTTGATGTGTGCAATTAATGACCTGTCAAACAGAGGTGCGTCTCAAGCTGGATGGGCCCCCAGAGTTGTATCATCAGATTTGTGGCACGATTAACGATAGGAGGGAGATAGTGTCGATTCCGATAAACGAACTCGAACAATTCTGCGATGGCAACGTCATCTACTTCCGCAAAGGATGCGTGGAGCTCACCCTGCGGGTCGGGAGCCAGAAAGGCCTGGAGAAACTCCTGGCCATGTGCAATAGCGGAGATCTCAAGCAGCTCCTGGGCAGAGAGTTCCCAGTCAATAGCCTGAGGGTGGTCGAGGAAGACATCGTACAGGCGCGCAAATTCTTTGAGGAGGAAAAGGGTTCGTGTAGATCATCACAAAACTAACTGTTTAAGTAACTCCAACAATTAGATCCCTCTCATCTTTTTCTCAAGCTTGCCGACCTTTTTGATAAGTCAATGGTAGTGGGGCGGGTTCAGGTTTGGACGCTCCTACATTATTTGCGGCCTAAGATGGAGTTAAGACTCTAAACAGCTCCTGTTGATCTGGATGACGTGGTTGATATTATCGAAAAATGCCACCACCCTTTGCCTGCCTTGTTTTAAAGACTTCTTAGAAACATAATTTTTTGCAACAAAAATGCACTTCTTTTAACATCGAACAAAAATGTCCAAGCTTTACTGAACCACTGCACTGAGGGCGCTGTTGCTGTGATGTGATATTTCAGGAAGACACGGTATATTTTAGGTGTTTTCTGTTCAAATTGTGAACCCAAAATTGTGCTCATTGAAAACATGTGTGAGAAAAGTTTGCTCATTGGTATACTGACACAACAACGAATCGTTAGAGAAAAGAAATACCCAAAATTCTGGCAACGTTTTTGTGCTGAAACAAGTTGTAACATTGAGGTGTCTGCCTGAAATGACATCACATGTTCGCTCATGAATATAGATTTTGCATAAGCATAAAAAACCCAAAAGCCCAAAATAATTACCCCTCTCCTTTTTTCCAGCCAAAATGAAGAATGAGTTGAGAAAGAAGGTGCAAGAATTTGAAGATGCAGCTGGTGAGTATGTTCGTTGCCGGGTGAAGATGATCGAGTTACTCAAAGACTTAGTGGAGTTATGTACTCGACGCCAGAGACAAGCTGCGGTAAGATTTGACTTGTGTTTTGTTTTTTTGTTGTTTTTATGAACTTTTCATTTAAGCCAAGTCCAAGTTCGGGCAATGACCATTTGTCGTCTTGGTTGATTTGTGACGTCCATTAATTGTGACGTCCACAGTGAGCATCTATGAAAGTGATTCTAAGACTATTGAAAGAATCTAAAATAATATGCGAGCAGATGAAACAAATGCGTCTAGACCTCCAAATTCTGACCGTTCAGTGGACGCCTTCTATCAGGTCTTCGGTGAACCGTTATTTTATTTAAAAAAAACATGGCAGCTAGTTCACCAACAAAAGCGTAGGCCGAATTTCTGCTCGAAATGACGTCACAATTTCTAAAGTGTACTCTGATTGGCTGGCGCGTGGTGTCACATTACATTTGAGACACATCAGAATAGGAGATTACCCAAATAATTGTCAAAATACGATAAAGTGCCAAAGCCTAAACTAAACATCGTAAACAGTGAACAAACTCGTATAAAAAGGTATAGCTTTATTAAACTGTTTGTCTGCTGAATACCAATTGGGAAGAATATCCAAGTGCCTTTTGGTGTGAAATTTTAATTCAGCTTCCCTTTGTTTTAAAAACGCAAGGCGCATTGGTCTATTCCCTTAGTGATTTTTTCTTTCAATTTATATTTCTGTGCATAGGCGGTCGGGGGAGTCGGCGCTGGATTAGCTTTGTTAACATTCGGCGCTTCGTCTCTTCTATCAGCTGCTGCGGCAAGTGCCGCGGCCGGGATTGTGGCTGGCATCGTCCAAGCGGTCACCGCCAAAATATCCACAGATGAAGCGAAGATGATCATGGCCAAAGACAAGGTAGCATGCGACAGAGTCCAGGAGACTCTGGAAAAGGTTGATTTAAAATTGAGGGAGTGGGAGGGCAAAGAAGAAGGGGTACTGATTGGTTCCATTCACGATTTGGTCAGGGTGGATGAGGTGAATCTGAAAAGGGGAGTGGACGCAATCGAGAAGATTAAGGGCGAAGGCCGCGGGGAATTCGTCCAGTTCGTGGTCCTTACAGTAGATCTAGATAGGATCATAGTGTACATACAGGACATGTTCCCTGGAGATGTCTCCAGATTGGCCAAAGAAATTCAAGAGATTGCTGACAAACTGGACTGTCCGAATGAGACGTCAATGAGGGAACGTGTCTCGAAAATGAAAACACGGTTCCAACTTGACAACAACTAACAATTGAATCAAGTCGAGCGACAAGTTATACCTTAGAACGTCTTCGTACATTTTATGTAAGAAATGGTTCTCATCATACAATTTGGTAGGAGCGGATCCATACATCGGACGGGAAGGGCGATATAACAATGTAGTCGTGTTGTGAAGTTATAATAACAATGTTTGCCTCAAAAATATCCAACGAGTGGTTGACTATGAATATCACGAGGTGATGCAGTCTAAAAATACTGTGTCAGTAAATTCCAGGTCATACTTGAACATGTCACTTGTCTCGATCAAAATAACACTTCCGATCAAAATGACCGGAAAATGACCAGGACAAGTGTCATTTTGACCCGGAAAAGTGTCATTTAGTTGGACCCAGAGAAGGGTCATTTTGACCTGGAGAAGTGTCATTTTGACCCGGAGACGAATCATTTAATTTGAACTTAAGAAGTGTCATTTTGACCCAGAGACTCGTCATTTAAGTTTACTCGGAGAAGTGTCATTTTGACCGAGGGAAGTGTCATTTTGACCCAGAGGCGCGTCATTTACTTTGACTCAGAGTAGTGTCGTTTCGACACGAAGAAGTGTCATTTAATTTAACTCGGAGAAGTGTCGTTTTGACCTAGAAAAGTTTCATTTAATTTGACTCAGAGAAGTGTCTTTTCGACCCGAAAAAGTGTCATTTAATTTGACTTGGAGAAGTGTCATTTTGACCCGGAAAATTGTCAGGGTCAACCGTCAAATATGACAGTTCCGGGTCGGATTCGATCCTAGAATTTCTAGAGTGTACACCGCGGTACCTAGCCTTTGCCTGATAAACCTTCTCCAAGGCAAGTTTTCATTTTGTCTTAAAATACACTACTAATATTTATACACACATGTACAAATACAATACATTACAAATACAATATATCACATGTGAATTAAAATAAAAGCATATTAGATTACTGCATGATTGTAAAGCAACTATATTATAAATAATTGAAATTAAGAATTGAGTTCGATGATGTTCTGGGACGAAAAAAATATGTCGTTTTGAGGATTTTTGTGTGATGTAAGTGTAAAAATAACCGAGGTCAATTCATAATAACAAAATGTATAACAATGTAGAGGTGTATATACTAAAGACACGCCCTTCTGGCACTACTTTACTTCAATTAGATAGTCAAAATTGCCGTCGGGTTTCACCGTTGCAGTTAGTTTGCGTTCTCAATCTTTAGTCTTCCTCCAATTGTATAGCGTATTCTTAATTGGAGATTATAAAAAAAATTACATAAGTAGATTAGTTAATTATCGTAGTCACCATTATACGTCACATCATGGCTGACAGAATGTGTTGTATGTATACCTGATCAAGAGATTTTAAAAAGTTAGCATTTGTAATAAACCTTATTATACGTCAATTCGTTGTTGTTATGTTGTGTGCGTTTGTACTGCAATGGACCGATCCAGTAAGCCCCTCCCACTGCGCACGTGGGCAAATTAACACGTGCTCCAATCCAATTCCACACCGCATTTTCCTGCCGCGCGCATCATACGCGCGTGCACGCATGTCGGACTTTTGTGCACGCATCATGTCGGACATAAATCACAGATCAGAAAAAAGTTCAGTGTTCTCTCAACAATACCAAAACAAATTCCATAAGGAACTTTAAAACGGTGGTTGCGTTTACAATTCCGTAACTTGAAAAGTACATAAGTGATTTGAATGATTCTTGTACTAAAAGAAAGCTTATGAGTTGGGCTTTCATATCCTATATTTTGAAAGTGCTACATGCAGAGCTTCACTTAAACAATCGTCCCGACATTTGAGTTTCTTTTTTTTACTCACCCTGTACCCATAAAGGAAAGAGAGGAGCTGGTATACCCTTAATGCCCAGCCAAAGGCCCTCTATCACGAGGCCGAGCATCACATGAAATAATAATACTTGCAGAGTTGCAAATGTATTATTCTAAAACATCATGCTCAAAACAAATAGTGAAGCGTGGATTATTTTCTTATTAAGGGGTCGTACGCACTATGGTGCCTACACATTTGCGGGGTTGTTATTAAAAAGGGTCCAGACCCATGGTAAAACTTGTAAAACTTGTTGAAGAGATGCCTTTTTAATCGTACCAGTCCCGTAAATAACTTCATTGGTATTTAATCATCCCGTGAAAAGCTTAAGTATAGAGACAAATCGACAAAATCCGAAGTCAGCCAAGTAATTTATGGCGTCGAGATTTTCGTAGTGCGGAACCGTGTACATGTACATGTTTTCCACATTTTTATGTTAATGATACTCAGTGCTTTTATATCGTACGAAATTGACGGCTAGTTTGAGCCTTATAACTAACCGATGGGTGTCGCTATGTATACATACGTACTTACATGCATTGAAAATACCTGTACACATTACTGACATTTTAAGGATAGTTTTGTGGATGTTTATATCCTACCTTCAAATGCTCATTCAGATTAACATCATTTCGTTTAACCCTAAAAGGGCCGGGTTATTTTGACCATCTCTCAGCCGGGGGGGGGGGCGCCCCCAATATCTCGGTTATCGAGTGACGAAAAGTTTTGAAACTCGGTACATGCATAGAATAACTTATCATAAACATAACCAAGCAATTTCATGACTATAGGTTAAAGGGTTTTGGAATTATGGCTAATAATCATATGCGCGAATGGTAATTCTGGTCTATGTACCCTACGTATATGAGAAATTCAATTTTCACGGTGCGTTTACGTAATTTTTCGTTGCGCGGCAACCCGTAGTCCGATTTTTATGTTTTTGGTATGAAAAGATGCGCAAGGCTTGAGACTAAAAAATTAAAACAGCTCTGGTTGCGAAAAATCTTTCTCGAGGCTATCGCGGAAAAAAAGGAGCGGGGTGGATTTCGCCCCGGCCCCTTTAGGGTTTAAACGTGTTTTGTGGCCCAATTTGGCGTATTCCAGGACGCAGTGTCCCAGTAACCTGTTGCAAAATTTGTATCGAAAATTTAATATTAAACTCTTCAGTGTTTAGAGTGTGGGTGCCATTTGTTTTAGTGAAGTTCTGCACGTAGCAAATTTATAATCTAGGATATGAAAGCCTACTTCATAAGCTCTCTTTTAGTACAAGAATCATACACGTTTCTCATGTACTTTACAAACGCAAACACCGTTTTTAACTTCTGCAGTCCGCGGATCACAAAAAAAGGTAAGTGTTCTTTCAGCAAAACGAAGACAATTCACATAGGGATGTACTGTCGCTGGTCTGTCATGGAAGCTTAAGCAGTGATGCGGTCATAATGGTTATTATCAATTAAAGGCCGTGCCTTTTGAACAACTAAGCTTCTGGATAGCCTCTTAACCCCCTAAGCACGGGTTATAATGGGGACATTCCTCCACACATAGAGCAAGTGGCCCGCATGACTGCACAGCCTTTGTGTGGTAGCGGGACTGCACAAAAGCAGCAGCTGTGGAACTACCCACTAGCTGGGTGCCACGGCATACCACAGCTGGCAACTGCATTCCAATGAGGATTAGCGGCCGCGGCCATGACCGCTTCCCGGGCCCATAAATCAGCTTAAGGATTAGAGCTGATTTTCACTCGTCCTTGAAAGTTGTCTTGCGAAAGAGAGACGCAACTACTCGAAAAGGAAGCATAAATGCAGAAGCGTCTCCATATCGTCTTATGAGGGGGGGGGGAATTACGACCCTACTCTAGAGGCGTATGAAGCGTCTTACAAATCTTTTTTTTTTAGCACGCCGTTCAAATGCAACCAGGGGGCATTGCAAAATACGCCACTGAAGACGTGAGACAGATAAACACCTGAAAACTTCAAACACATTATACAGACAGTGACGTCATCATGTTTGTTGACGCGCATAACATTCGTTTTTATCATACAGTCGACTCTCGTTAGTACAAACTATGTTAACTTAATACAAACTTCTAATATAACAAACATAAAACCTTGGTCCCGACTGTGCATGTATGTGCACAGTGAATGGGACTGATGTTCCTCTTAATACAAAGTTCTGATATAACAGATAAGAGAAATGATGGCTCTATCCCATTCAGAGACGCCTCTCCTATAGATTGGCTTGTGAATAAAAAAATGTGCGTAAGAACAACACATTGAGCTATTCGATGGTGTGATATTGTGTGGTTCATTTCTTCAATTAAGACACATGAAGGGGTCTTAAAAATTGGGTAGAAATCAGAGGGAGAAATCAATGGAAGTTTTGACCGTAGCCAAGTTTACCCAGGCAGTGGGGTGGGTTAGGTTTTACCTGAGGGCAATTGCGGGAATGCATTTTCGTCCCTTCGGGGACTCATCAGCCGCTAGATTCAAAGAATCTGTAGGTATGGGTTAGTGAGTTGAATGGAGCTCACTTTGCGGAAAAGGTTGCGTCTAAGTTATCCGGTATATGTGATTACAACTTCATTCGGATGGAATTTGTTCATCCAATAGTGAAATTAGGATATCAAGTGTGTTATCTTCGTTCTCAGTTGTGGAGGATTGGTTATCTTCCGTATGGCTGAGTTTGGCTCTGACAAGTCTCTTCTTGATGTTCTCAGCTATCTTATAGGCAACTAGAGGAGGTTTCGGGAAAACTTCCTTCAAAGTTGGGTTGCCTGAGATAAGATGCCAGTGTCTGGAGAGAGCACGCTTGATGTCCATGTGTTTTACATGGGGGTTGTAAGTCGTGGTGAAGACGAGGGGGAGTTCTTTTTGGGTTTTCACTTGTTCTGTGTGAATCATAGATTTCCTTTGTGAGAAATCGATGGATTGCTTGCACTTGTGAATATCGGCTTGATTGTAGCCTCTTTTCAGTAGTTTTTCTTCGAAACTTTGTACTTTTTGTAAGAAGTCGTCCTCATTGTTTGTGTTTCTGGCATATCGTAGGATTTCTCCTTTGATAAAACCTTTGAACACATGGTTTGGATGGGATGATGTTCTTTCCAAGTACTGATATGTTTCCGTAGGTTTCGTGAACACTCGTGTGTCTAGGGTACCCGTGGAGAGGAAACGCGGGCCTTTAAAAATGGTAAGGTCCAGGTATGTGATGGAAGTTTCAGATGCCTCAAATGTGAATTTGAGGGTGGGATGCAATTGATTCAACTGGTGAACAAATTGGGTGAAGGATTCGAGTTGGCCGTTGTAGACGATAAGTATATCATCTCTAAATCTTGCCCAGAACAGGATTCTGTCTGTGAGGGCTGAGATTTGTAACTCAAAATCATGTAACGTAATGTCGCAAATTTCTGGACTAGCCACAGATCCCATTGCACATCCTATTTTTTGTGGGAAGAATTTTCCTCCGAACTGGAAATAGTTGCGGCCCAGAACGAGTTCCAGGAGAGTGCGGATGTGTTTTGAAGGGGGTTTGGTTATGGCATAGTTGTGGTTGTTTTTTTCGTAGGCTTTGCATACCGATTCAATGGCTTCTGCCTGGTGAATGTTGGTATACATGGAAACTACATCGATGCTTGCAAGGAGTGAGTTTTGTGGGAAGGTTTCCTTTTCTAGTTTCCGCAAAATGTCTGTGGTGTCACGGACATAAGTGGGTTGGGGACTGGTAGGGCAGTTCGTGGGTTGTTCAAGTGGGTCAAGATAGGCAAAGGTATGTTTGTCGATGTGTTTGTTTCTTATCATGTCGGTGAGGGCGCTGTGTACCTTGAGTGCGGTTTCGTGAGTCAAATCCCTGTCCACTTTTTCATAGTGGTGGGCGCTGAGGTGTTTGAAACCAACGTTTAGGTAGTCCTCACGGTTCATGATGCAAATGCCTCGGCCTTTGTCGTAAGGCTTGATAACAACAGATGGGTTGTTTTTGAGTTTGCGTATTGCTGATAATTCAGCTTGGGACATGTTTGTCTGAGGTTTCCTCAGTCTGACATGGGCGAGTTCCATCTTGATAGCTTCCAAATAATTCTCAAGTGTGGGGTTTTGAGTGGATTTGGGTTGCCAGGTGGATGGAGGTTTGAAGGGCCTCTTCTTTAGAACTTTTTTGTGCATCAAGAATGCAATTCTCATTCGTCTTTGATATTTGTTGATATCTTGGATAAGTGAGAGACGGGTTGGTTTAGCCGGGGTGGGAACAAAGTTTAAACCTTTGCCCAAAGCTATTTTCTCGGTAGGGGAGAGTGATAGCTTTGAGAGGTTGGTTATGAATTGTTCATTTTGGTTGGCTAATTAACATTTTGTAGTTGCCGTAGGCTGAGTCGGGCTCGCCCGAGTGCAGCTGACACGGCTACCTCCTTCCACACGTTCGCCAAATTCGATTGAATTCGGTGGCCTCTGGGTGGAGTAGGTACTGGGACTTGGCTCAGGAGGTACTTCGGTGGGTTCTTGGTTCTGACGGCGTTCTCCAGCAGGTTGATTTGTTTGTTCAGGGAGACTCGCTTGGAAACCATTTGTTGGAGAGGTCCCGCTAGACTTCGGACAAATTTGTAGTCCTCGTGTTCTAGTCGGTGGTCTTTACTGGTTTGTTGCTTATCTCTTTTCCTGGGTGCCGGTTTGTCCTTACTTTCTGTGTCTCTTGATGAGATCTGACTTATTGAAGTTTGCACTTCATGGGCCAGACGACTATTAAAGAGAGATTTCTTACTGTTATCAGACGAGTCTGAGTCAGACAGATCAGTTTCGGGAATAACCTGGGCACAAGGGAACGGCGAACTTGGAGGGCTTGACTCTTGGGTTGACATGATGTCGGATGGCCAAGACAGTGCCCCGAGCCTGTATATGTGCCTGGGAAGCGGACGTGTGATAAACCACAAAGGATGGTGTCCCTTTGCTTGCGTGAAAGAATGGCTGGTCGGTGTTCAGTGGTGCGTATCTCAGTGGAAGCTCTGCGTTCAGTGTTGAATGGCGGGATTCGAACCCCCGACCCTCTGATCATGAGTCACGAATCCTTACCACTAGGCCACACACTCCCCTACACTAGAGTTAAAACATTTGTTTAATTGCCTTATTTGAATTAACACAAAACCTTAGTCCTGCTTTCTTCCTGAATAAACCCTAGATAAATAAAATGGACTATATTCATATCACTATATCACATCTTCTCTCATAATTAGCTTAAAATAGTCAGCATGTCGATAGTCTATGTACAGCTTTATACAAGTACTCCATGAACTCGTTTCTTAGAACAATAGAGAACAAGAAAAGCCTCCGTGCATTACCTTTACAATTGCTGGAAGCAAACATATATTACTTAGCGTTGGGTGATATGTTTTATAGTACTTAACGTTTGGTACTAATTATAGTTCTTAACGTTGGATAATAATTATGTTGACATTTATATGAGTGTAGAATAGGTCTGATTTGAAAACCAATGACAATCTACCACCCAAAATACCAGTTCTAATTATTTTGCCTATTGGCCACTCTTTGTATAGCCCTGTCTGTGCCCGTAGAGGGAGGAGGCAAACACAGCATTACTGACACAAATTTAGGCTATTGGGATAGATGTGGATGCATTTAATTAAAGTAGCGTTTAGTTTGGGCTTGGATATGGGATGGGAAGACACGTATAATCAACAAATAAATATGTTATTCCCTCATTGAAGAATAAGAACTGTTTTTGATAATAACAGTCTCTTGAGCCCCCCCCCCCCAAAAAGGTTTCAAACAATGTATATTAATCAGATGTATATTTTGTTAAAATCCAGATTCATGATGGTATAGACTGTGTTCAGATATCCAGTAATAAATAAATTAGCATGTTGATAAGTATCGACTGTAAAGTGGGAATGCAAGGGGTAGTAGCTATAGGCTACATGGAAAAAAAAATATGTGTTATTGAAATTGACAGACAAAGGTCTGCCGCACCCATCACACTAGTACTAAACTATTTGTTTACTGTCTAATTTGAACTAACACAAAACCTTAACCCAGCTTATTTTGCCAACAAATACTAGTCAATAAAATGGATCTTTTATAATCGTATCTTGTAAATATCTGACAAATGAACAGTTAGTAATGATTATTTTTAATCTGCATGCGTGTACTCGGTGAACAACTTTAAATGAAACAAGCAAGAACCCTAAAAAGGGCTGGGTTATTTTGACCATCTCACAACCGGGGGGGGGGGAATTCCGCCCCTCCCCCCAAGATATCGGCGATTGGTGACGAAAAATTATGAAACTTGAAACATACATATAATGACTTATCATAAACATACCCAAGACATTTCATGGCTATAGGTCAAAGGCTTTCGTGGCTATCGGGTGGCATGGGTGGCTTGTGCGTAAAGCGTTTGCCTCTCACCAAGGTGACCACGGTTTGAAACCTGGCCGCGGATCGCATGTGAGTAGAGTTGTGCGTTGGTTCTCTCCTGTGCCACGAGGGTTTTTCTCCGGGCCCTCCGGTTTTCAAACACTTTCGATCTCAGGCTGTGCTCCGTGGTCATATATTGGTCGATGTGGCCGGAAGCCATAGGCACCTTTACGTGCCAGCGGCCCGACCACGTTTTAGCCGTGTCCTTCGCAATTCAGCATACCAGCTGCAAGAAAGGATGATTAGCCTCCCAAATTATAAAAGGTTTGAATTTATGTCTTATTAAATATTCACTTACACGAATGGTAATTCTGCTTTGAGCACACTCCGTATATGGGGGAATTCATTTTTCACGGCGCATAGCGCCGAAAATGTTTCGCTGCGCAGCAACCCGTCGTCCGAATTTCATGTTTTGGTATCAAAAGATGCGCCATACTCCAGACTGAAAAGTCAGAACACCTTTTTTTTTTTGAAAGGCTATCGCGGATAGGGTTAATAGCAAACAACAGAATTTTGATTTTCATTGATTTCTTTTGACCCACTCACACACAATTTCGAGAGAACATTTGTTCGTTAACTTTGATTATTCTAAAGGCCCCTTGGGCAATAGTTAATACATTTTAAAATGACAAGCGCACCACTCAAACCCCAAGCCCTAATGATTGCTTGCCTATTGTCTTTTCTCTACTAGCTACTGTCTCTGCTCTTTGAGTAGGGGAAGGCAAACATATTATTGACATCATTTCAGTCTCTCGGGATAGACATTGATGCATTAGAATGGAGTAGCGTTTTGTTTTGGACATGGATGTTGACAGACCGAATAATATCAATGAAAAATTGAGCTCTTGAGCGAGGCACTTTACCATTATTGCTTCGTCCTTAGGATGGGACATAAAGCCTTAGGTCCCGTGTGTTGTGTTATGCACGTTAGGCCAAAAAAAAAATTCGGTCTCTGGTCAGACCAAAGTTCCGGAATTGACGCGGGGACGCGGCTTTTTTTTTTGGGGGGGGGGCTTTTTTATTTTCTTCAAGCTTGGATTGTACAGACGAGGTGGGGTACTATTTTGCTTTTTTTGGTGTCCTCATGTACATTGGTGTCCTCCATAATATGCCTTGTTGCTCTCCATAATTTGCCTTGGTGCAATTTCACATTCCTTGGTGCTCTTTGTTAAAAAAAAATTGAGGAGGTGCGGCAATAGAGGGCGCTGTTGGAGCTACCGCGGAACATTTTGGAAAAAAAAAGATTGACGCGTATGATTAAAATCGACGCGCGCGCTGACCAGAGACCGACTTATTTTTTTTTTTGGTCTTAAATAACTCAGTAACACTTGTCGCTAAGAGAAGGGTTTGCCCCAGTGTTTCTGGCATTGACAGCAATATACGCCGCAGCACCTAGCAAGAGAGGTGCTACATAATGGGCCTCATATGTTCATGTACTTCATTTACCTGTCTTTGGTTGCATTCTCTCACACGCTTTGTATCCTTTGGAAAAGACGCTATATAAATACGGTTATTATTATTACTGAAATTAAACGGATACATTTCCGTTGAAGCTGACTTTTTTGCTGTTTAAAGGGGTCAATTTAAAAAAAAAAACCCAAAAACAAGTCTTACTTTTTTATTTTTATTTTATTATTATTTTTTTGGAGGAGGCGGGTTTTTATTAGTACTCACTGAGAAAGGGAACGATAATCCTTGACTACAATAGTTAATCAGCCTGGCGATCGATACGATGGCGATAAAACACCTCACTATCGGAGGGTACCTATGATTACTTGAAAACGATCAAAAGCAGTTACAAGTAACCTCACAATAATTGTTATTCTTGACTTTTTTGTTTAATGTTAAATTTAATATTGCTTTTTTTTCACAAACACATCCAAAGAAACGTGTGAAACTGCACTATTTTAACACTGGTACGTTTAGGACAGGAGTCAACATTTCTCTCTTTTTTTTTACTTTTGAGACAGCCGCAGTACTTCACCCAGATATTCTGATCATCATTCCATAAAGCCATGCGTGAGACTTGGACATTGCCAATCAAATGATAACACCCTTGTCCATCTTTTTGGAGTTTGAGTCAATATTTGCCTTTTCTTAACTGTTTTGAGACAGCCTTAACACGCTACCTATACATTGTTGTCACCAGTCCATAATGCCCTGTGATTTTGACATTGCCAATCACCTGATACCATACACCATGCATAGTGGGTTAAAGTTAAACTGCACTATTTCAGCAATATAATACAGGTGCATTTATCTCCCCTGACGATCATTTTCGAGTTTGAGTCAATATTTGCCTTTTTAAAACTCTTTTGAGACAGCTTCGCCACTTTACTCAGACAGTCTTATCACCAGTTCACAATGCCCTGTGACATTGTCAATCACCTGATACCATACACCATGCAAAGGGGGTTAAATTAAACTGCACTATTTCAGAAATGATATAAATTTAACACCCCAATCGTTCTTTATGGGACGGGAATTCGAGTCAATAGTTTCCTCTTAGCACGCACCATGAAATGGGGGTTACGTGCAAAAAGACAAAGGAACCTGCAATTTCGACTTAAATTCCTGTTATCTCAGTAAATAGCAGGGAAGATGAGCCAGGTTGGTCCAGACGTACATTGCAA